CCTCTCCATATCACAACAAGCTACTGTTATATTAACAGAAACGTTATTAACGATGGAAGAAACGGTCATTCTTAGGGATTCTGCCCATTTACAAGTAAACATACCATGCTAAGAAAATGGGGACAAGTATTTTATACAATAAAATAAATGGAGTCACATTAGTAAAAGAAATTCGTTTGTATTAAAATATTGTTTCGACATTAACGGTTAACAGATTTAACAGCATCGCTCGGCATTAATAATATTTTCATACGACTTATGACGGGCCATAAGAAACGGTGTAACGTTCAGACAGTCGGCCGAGCCGTCGCGAGAAATAATAAATAACTCCGACAATTATGTAAACACCGGTGGATGCGCGTACTGCAAACTCGAGATTAAATTAACGGAATTACAGGCGAATGGACGAAGAACAACGGGATGATCCTAATATGATGGCATATAAAGTAATATAAATTTCTGGATACAGGGAACGGGAGGAGCGTCTTTCAGGTCGTAATAAATTTCTTTCTCTCTTAATTTGAAGAGAATTAAATCCAGTCTTTATTTCCATAACCCCGTTTCTCATTAAATTCGAAGTTCACTTATAAAGACAATCTCCTAACAATTATTTACAATTATTAACAATACGAGTGTGAACATCTCGTAATATTGGCTGACCTTCATTACGTATTTGCTGGCGTTGAAATGATTCTTTCGTTCTATTCTAAGTACATGTTAAACGTTGAACTGGATAGGGCAGATCTCTATTCAGTTGGTTCTTGTAAACGCTAAACGTTGAACTGGACAGAGAAGATTTCTGTGCAGTTGGTTTTGGTAAATGCTAAACGTTGAACTGGACAGGGCAGATCTCTGTCCAGTTGGTTCTGGTAAATGCTAAACGTTGAACTGAACGTGTCAGATCCCTGCAAAATTTAGCTTTGGCAGCACCATCGAATTGGGGACACCGAAACCTGGGCCGTGAGCACTCTCATTTCCTCTCTGCTAGTAGTAAAAGGATTCATACAAAAGATAAAAAGATCAATCGTGATCGTAATCCTGCGATCACTGAAATAAACGAACTTCGGATTTTTATGCAAAAAAGCATTCGTGGTATCAGTTTAAGAAATGTGTTTCAATTTTCATCACTTAGTTTTTGATAATTTCATTCAATTTTCTTCAAAATGCATAAAATCCGCAGTCTAGTGATAAATTAGTGATTTTGCTCGGCGAATGCGTTCTCGGGAAGCAAAATGTCGACGGTGACGTCACGTCCGTTTGGTAGGAGAACGCTACGTAATTGGCACGTTTTCTCCTATAACGCCTAATCTCGAAGGGTTGGCGCCTTCATCAAATGCAGTGAGCGTCGGTGTACGTAAAATGGCGGACGGTGACATTGATTTGTACGCCGACGATCTCGAGCAAGATTTCGCGCAGGTAATTCGTTTTTATCATTGTTAATAAGTAACAGACGATTGGGTACACGTTGCTGTTAATCGGCTGTCCGTATAAGAAACGTAGGGAACTGTGAGAAAAATGCGGTACTAGAGTGGGCTTGCTCGCGGCGTCATGGAGGAGAGACACTAGATTGCTACGAACGCGGTGATACTCGTTCAAACGGTTCACGATATTCTTGTAATACGACGTTAACTCGCGACGGATATAGTTGTTGCGTTCGATTATTACGGCCGATAAACACTTCCCGTGTTCCGTTACATAATTACCGTGCAGCGTGCACGTTCGGTTGCATCGAGAAAAGCTAAAAAAACGAATACGTGTAATACAGTTTCACGGGAAGAAAAGCAAAATGGTGTTGGCGGTAAGGACGTCTCGTAGCTCTTTGTTTATTAGTGAACCTTTTCATAGACCTTTCATTGTTGCATGAGACACCATTTTATTAAGCTGTTTGTTTCCATTTTCACGTACGTTTCTTTCGCTTTTTTTTGTAGATCTTTTTTCATCCTTGCGAGGGTCGATTAATTATTCAACAAGCCAATATATATATGTGTAT